TTCATACTTTTCGAGTTCAGCTTAACTTTAATATGAATAAAATTTTGGTCACAAACGCTATGTGAATTTAAATTTAAACTCATACATCCGGTATTAAAACTTTCATCCCCAATCGGTTTCATGCTTTATGTTAGTTATGCCTTCTGTGAAATTAAAAGGTGTTGCCTTTATTATATCCAGTTCTGACTCCAAGTGTCTTGCATGGTTGGCTCACCTCTCTGAGCAATCACCGTCTCTGGGAGGCGCAAAGGGCCCGTCAACAGGTGATCTTCTACATGAGTCATCTTCTTCTTCATCCGGATACCCCAGACACGAATGCTACCTCAGCCTCGAAGGTGGAAGCCTTAAGACAGCAAATCTCACCTTCGGTGGCTTTGAAAAGGCCCAGCCTAAGACCAGACCTTGCACAGGCTCCGTTGGCCACTCACAATCCGCCTTCACCACAGACAACTTGCGTCTGTAGTCACCTTCTCAGAACAAGAAATGCAGTTTTAGAACGATGCGGTGCAAATGGGCTCTTGATGGGCGGCAGTAGAGGGCCGGTTCATGAGGCGGAAGAGTTGGTAGCAAGCTCTGGTGCCATCAGACAAAGGCGTGAGGGTAAGCAGCTATTGGGTCATCAGTTGTCATCACCTCAACTACAGGCTTCTGAAAAATGCGCGAAGGGGACCGAGGCTAATGGTATCCTAGTAACCGGATTCATCAGGGCAGCATCAAGCAGGTGGCCAGAAGCAGAGACGAAATCCGCTACAGAAGCGGGTGTTGGTGCGAGTGGAGATTCGAATCTGCGTGGTTCGGGGCGGCGAACGTCGCGGTTCAGGCTACCCCTGCCGGGTCGACTGCCCTCGATCCCCAGCTTGTTGGTACAGACTCCCAGCAACGGAAGACCTGACCAGAGTGGGTCGGTACCCTACCAAGCTGGTGGCCACGAACCATACTGATCATTGGTTGAATTAAGGGTGAGTGGAGGAGGATAGGATAAATCTGTCCGAAGTTGAGATGTCGCTTTCAGGGCTCGTAGATTTTTAGTGAAGTCGAGCAAAGGAGGTGTTAAAAGCCATTTGCATGTGTGCACGTGTGCATGGCTACGGCCCAAAGACCCTTTTCGTTATCTCCC